TTATAATGAGTTCTATAGTATTTTGTCGCGCTGCGCCACTCGCGTCCGGTGTTAAAACGGTGCAACATTGGCTTTGCTTTGTTTCACAGAACTAATCGTTGCCTGAGTTGCGTACGTATGTGTGGGGCGGAGCTATCAAAATAGGGGCGAGACCTTTTTGGGGTAGGGGCGTGTTTGTTTTGGTGATTTCAAATGTCAACATTGGCTACCAGAAATCGCTTACCCCACCTTTAATTCACTCCTTTTCTTAGTGTTTTAGAGTGATTCACTGATGTGGTAAAGCATAACACTTCCACCCTGTTATGCTTATTTATAGAGGAAACTGATTTTAAAATATGGTTAATCAACATGTTAAAAAACTTCATCAATGATCACTATGTACTAGCTTGTTGTTCATCACATGAATAGCAATGGCTGACTTTAGCATAAATGTCCCTCCTGTTACGGTCCACCCTGTTACTGTTTTGTACAGTAACAGGGTGGGCATATTGTAATAGTCGATGTACAAATAGATAAATAAGTGTTTACAGCATGTATTGGTACTTATAATTAATTTATTATGCATTTAAAAGAAAGAGTTGTTTAAATGGAATGCATGTCTTAGTCAGGAAATGGCACTGTTGTCTGCTGCTGAATAGCTGCAGGGCTCGTCGTGATGCAGACCCTGAAAGTGTTAGAACTCAGCTCTGTTGATTAGGTAGAAACTGTAATAAATTATCTTTATTTTGCCATTTCAGTGTGTGTGTGTGTGTGTGTGTGTGTGTGTGTGTGTGTTGTGTGTGTCTCTGTGTGGTGTGTGTACTAGTATTCCCTACGTTATGGGGTCCAAATGTCCCCACAAGTATAGTAATATGAGTACATTTTGACCTTGTGGGGACATTTATTTGGTCCCTATGAGAAAAAAATAACTTATAAGTCTTACAGCATGAACTGTTTTGAAAATCTAAAATAACTGTAGTTTTGTGTGAGGGGTAGGTTTAGGTGTAGGGTTAGGGTAAGATACAGTTAAAGGTGCAGTAGGAGATCTTGGAAAATGCTAACTTTATCCTGATAGCACTGAAAGCGAACGTCCCACCCTCCCTGCAATTGCCGTCCAAAGCCACGCCCCCTGAGCACATTTACGCTCACAGACCAGAATACCAGAAACAACATTACTACAATAGGCTACATCAGCGGTTCCCAATTCCAGTCCATGTTCCGAAGTGAAGTAAACTTCAACAGATTTCCCCTGCTCAGGGAGTAGGGAGCAATGAACACTGTGTAGGGATCATATCGATAGGAACACAGTTCATGCACGTAGCTCTCTTCTAACGAGCTGGTTATCTGAATCGGGGTGTGTTAACTAAGAGAGACATGCAAAATATTCAGAAAGAAAGGGCCTGATCTTCTTGATGTTGAATAAAGCAAA